TATATATATTATATTTTTTTTTTAAAGGAAATAAAAATACTTTTTATTTGTCATTTTAGTAATTCATACACCAAAGGGTTAATATCTCTGGCCTGGGGTATATTGATTTGATCATGTATTTAGGGTGATTTTATTCCGAGGGATTTAATTGTAGGTTTTGATAAGTTAATTTTGTTTTGGGAAATATACATGGAAAACAATTGTATAATTTAACAGTTTGATGCATGATGTCCACTACAGTTAACAGATCTTTAAAAGCCATTTTAAGGTGATAACCTTTGACCTTTATCCGTAATTCCTTGCGACAATCCTTTTATATTATATGTTTTATTATGGCAACATAAAATGGCAAGCAAAAGTGATGCACCAAGACAAGTAGCAACTACTATCTCTAATTGCAATGGACAGAAACACTATCAAAATGTGTTATTTTGGGAAAAACGGGAATTAATATAGTATTTTTGTTTTAAAAAGGTAATAAAAGACTATTTTTTTTTGTGATTTTAGTAATTCATGCACCAAAGGGTTCATATCTCTGGCCTGGGTTATAGTGAATTTGTGATGTATTTAAGGGAATTTTATTCCTCAGGATTTGATTTTAGGTTATGATAAGTTAATTTTGTTTTGGGAAATAAAACATTAAAACTATTTTATTTGTGATTTTAGTAAGTAATGCACCAAACAGGTAATATCTCTGGCCTGGGGTATGATGGTTCATACAGGGGGATCTAACAATATACTTAGGATTTTATTGTCGGTTATGATTAAGTTCATTTTGTTTTGGGAAATACACAGTAAAGACAACTGTATAATTTAACACTCTGATGTATGATGTCCACTACAGTGGACAGATCTTTAAAAGCCATTTTTAAGTTGATAACTTTTCAACAATTCATTGCAACAATCCTTTTTATATGCTTATTATGGCAACCTAAATTCAAAATGGAAAACAAACGTGACGCACCACATAACTACTGCTACCTTTTATTGCAGTGGACAGTAACGCTCTAAAATGCATTATCAAACTAGGAATTAATATATATTTTCTTTAAAGAAAAGTTGATAAAAACATTAAGACTATTTTAATTTGTGATTTAATAACTCATGCACCAAAGGGTTAATATCTCCGGCCTGGGGTTACAAATCTACGGCCTAAAGCAGAAATATAATATACCCTCTCAAATTGGGGCCATGTACAAATAAAAAGCACTCATACTGCATCGCAAGCACACACGGCCTTTACATGCTCCTGATGGGGTTTCGTACTTTGGGGAGAATGGATTTGTACTTCATATTTGGCACACGCACACGTGAGCTGTGTGAGATCTACACAGCAACCAAAAGAAAGTGCAATTGGAAACGCTACCAATCTGCTGTACACATAAGGTCGGTATTGCTTAAATAATTTGCCGGACTACATTGCACCACATTGCCTGGTAATATTAAGGCTTACACTGCATTGCGATCGAAGGGGACGTTTCAAAGATGAGCACGTGACCGTCGTGTCCTACCTAGGCGTTTTTAATTGGCTCTCCTTCAAAGCGACTGAAGGCGTCTGATTAGACATCGGACCCGAGGTGATTAAGCCCACAGAAGTGTTTCATCTCGCCGTCGCAAGCAATCTGCCTCTTTCGGTACATCAAAGGCGAGCGCGGACAGCCGTGTCGACCGGTGCGCGTAGCTCATGTGCGGCACATGCTCTCATGTGAGAGGGACGCCGTTCGTCGTTTCATCCCTTGGGCTGAGGAGCTGACCACAGCGGCGGCTGCGTGAGACGACCACATAACCACAGCCTTGTTCGGAGGGAAAACATGTGACTGCGGGGGAATGCGGGAGCCTGAGGCCTTCCCATCGTCCCAGTTTGCGCCTTTGATCAGCCAAACTTGCTAGAGCAGTTCACTTGGCTCTCAAACTCAGCTTAAATGCAAGAACAGAAGGAGGGAGAATAAGAGCGTCTATAGTTTCGGACGGTACAATGTTTGATGACTAGGGATGAGGCGATGTACTATTGCACGCCGTATGCATTTGTGTATATATTTATCAAATCACCTGGTAAAACAACGATTGGGCTAAAAGGCCATTGGCGTTTTGAAGAAGTTACAGTTTTAAAAAACAACAAATCAAGATCCAAAAGATTAGAAAGCTGCAAGAAAGTCTGTAAAAACCAATGACTCCTTGTACAGTTATCTGAAAAAAGTCTGATCCTGAGAAACGCAAAATCTCAGCTCGTGGAATGCCGAGGGAAAACGGTGAGGGAAGGGAATGACAAGCATTGGGCTCGACGCCTTCGGAAATGAGACAGTGGAGCAAGCGTTTGCTGTAGTGATGCTCTGGAAAGGAAAAAGAAAGAGCAATGGCAGGACAGACACGCAAACACATAGTGTATCTTTTCACAAACGCATGCAGTTTCTGGAGCGTTTGCTTTCGTCCGCTGCCCACGATGGGATACACCATTCCCCGACTTTGACACTGAGCTCCTCGGAAATGCTTGTTGAGCCTGCAAAACTTCAGGTCATTGGGACCCCTGTCGCAGTATTGGAGGTTAAGGTGCAGCTGGAGAAGGACTTGCAAAACTGACCAACGTAAGTCTAGAAAATATAGGAAACCCCCTGGAGAACTCCTTGTCCCGGACAATTTTAGCATCAAACCTCAAAAGTTCACCGCCTGCTCATTGTTAGTCAAACCCTTCATCCCGAACCACCCCGTCCCACCCTGTTTCCTTTAGGCACATGTTCCCCAAGCATCTACAGTGTTGTGTCTAAGTGATGTGCTGGCAACCATTTCTTAGAAGTCTCGCTTGCCGATGAAACGCTTTTAGACGACGTCATTCATTCCGGATCCTCTTTCTCGTCTTCCTCTCGTTTTCCCATTAGCTCCGCGTCATCTTCTACAGTCTTCGCAGTCTCGTCCACTTCCTCTACAGTCTCGCCATCTTTTTCCTCTGTTTCATGTGTCTCGTCAGGTGCAGGACTCTCCTCCTCCTCCTGGTCGTCTGCAGGCTCCTCCTTGCTCCCTGGCTCCTCCTCCTCCTCATCGATGGCTAGGATTGGCTCAGGGGTGTTAGTGAGGCATGTGGACTCCTCCCCTTCTGTCTGGCTTTGGGACTCTTCAGCGATGACCTTCTTCCACATCTCGTGGTTCTCCAGCAGGTGCTGGGTGATCTGGCAGAACACTTTCCGTCGTTTCTTGGGTGCTGGTTTCTCTATAGTAAACACAGTAAAGAAAGAGAGTGTTAATGGCTTCTTCACACTAGCAGCTTTAATGAGGACTTTGATTTTTGTTTTGTAGAGAAATGTTGCATGTAAAAACAAAAACATCAGTCATGCAGTGTGCCTTCATTTCTTACACATCGATCCATATATATAATATTTAATATTCATAAAATAAATATTTTACTACTTTAAGTGATGATTTTGATTTTTGTTTTTGTAGAGAAATGTTGCATATAAAAGTAAACAAGCAATGTTTTTATTTCTTAAATACACATTTAAAGACACGTACATAATATTTGCTATATATAAAATAATGAAAAAAAATAATTGAATTAAATTAATCCAAAGACATATTTGATCTTATATCTTTATCTTATATCTTTACTGCTTAAATACACACTGATCCACATAAAAGGTAATTCATATTTATAAAATAAATTAAATGAATGCAAAAACAACCTTATATATTTATTTTAAATATAGTAGTCAACATCTGAAGTGGATCAAAAAAGTTCATCAAAGTTGTCCTAATACAAGAACGCATTCTGGTTTGAGGTTTTAGGACAACTTTGATGAAAGGTTTTGATCCACTTCAAATGTTGACAACTGTATATTATTTAGTATTGCAAATATAGTTTGTCTTAGCAGTGATTATTTTTTTGTAGAGATATGTTGCATATAAAAGTAAAGGTCTTTACTGATTAAATACCTCCGATCCACATAAATAATATTTAATATTCAAAAAAGAATTAAAAATAAAAGTAATTAAATTAAATGCAAAGACATTTTATCTTATATATTTATTTGTTAGTATTGCAAATATAATTTGTCTTATTTGACTAGGGGCGTGTTTGTTTTGGTGATTTCAAATATCAACATTGGCTACCAGAAATCGCTTACCCTGCCTTTAAGTGATGTCATTAGTTTTTGTTTTTGCAGAGAAATACTGCATAATTTACGTCAAATAAGTGTGTCCTGATCTACAGATTGTGAACTTCCCATACATCACTTTGTGTTCATTTTCTGCTTCAATTCAGTTCAGTCTAAATGAGGAAAGAATCTAAAACTGAGTCCACGCTCCTACCTCAATGCAATTTGGACCAGATTTTGTACTTGATATAAAGTTTGAGGAGAAAAACGTGAACTCACGGGAAAGTTCAGAGCTGGAAGAGGTGTCTTCCTCCGGTGTGTCTTCCTCCTCCTCTTCATCTGTCTCTTCCTCAGCCTCCTCGCCCTCTTTGGGCAGAGGGTCGACCCAGTGGCCGGGCATGAGAGCGGCTGAATCGTATGAGCTGCAGAGAGGCCCCACGATGTGTGTGATGAAGGACTCCTGCAGTTTGGCCAACTGCGGTGCTGAGCGGTCCATGAAGGGGCTGATGGGAAGGCCCAAACTGGACTCTTCATCACCCTGAAACACCAGAAAGAAAAGAAAAAAACCACTTGTAAACATATATGTGTAAAGTCCCGTTCACACCAAGAGTGATAACTATAATCAGATAACTATATTAGCATCCAGACCAATGCTCAATATTGTTCTGTTTACTATAATCACGTGCTGCGGTTTTGTCACCTGTTGCTTTAAATCAGGGATGTCAAACTTCAGTGGAGGGCCGCAGCCCTGCAGAGTTTAGCTCCAACCCTGCTCCAACACACAAAACATGTAGTTTTCAATTGAGCCTGAAGGACTTGATTAGCTGGATCAGGTGTGTTTAATTAGGGTTGGAGCTAAACTCTGCAGGGCTGTGGCCATCCAGGAATTGAGTTTGACACCCCTGCTTTAAATGCTCAAGCTCTTTAAAGCAGGATGGATTCTGATTGGTTGTAAATGTTTTTATCATTCATCAGGTGGAAGAAATCATTCTGAAAGTGATTCCAATGATATCGTTTCTCTTTGTCGTTATGGTTATGGTGTGGACTTACCTATTCTTTAAGAATTTGAATGATTATTAAAACATTATAGTTATCATTATAGTTATCATCCTTGATGTGAACGGACTTTTAGGCTGCAACCTCTGCAACAGAACACTCATTTTTATGATTCAATCAATTCACAATGGACTCATTTCTAATAGAAAAATCACGGTCTGCCCACATTATAGAAGTAAAATGGTTTACAAATGTTGTTTCATATTGACTAAGTGGAAAAACATTTGAAATCCTTTTTGGTTGCTATAACATGGAAGCCTGTTTCCACCACAGGATAAAACATAAAAAAAAAAAAAAAAGGTAAATGCCTCACAATTTTGACTTTGTTTCAGAATTCAGAATTTCGAGATATAAACTCAGAATTGTGAGATTTAAATGCAGAATTGCAAGAACTAAATTCAGAATTGTGAGATTTAAATGCAGAATTGTGAGATATCAACTCAGAATTGCGAGATCTAAATGCAGAATTGCGAGAAACAAAGTCTGAATTATGAGATAAAAACAAAGTCAAACATTTTTTTTTCAAATTCAGTTTGACCAAAGTCTTTGTGAAATGGTTCAGTCAGGTTTTATTTGGCAATAATAAAAGACTGTGATTATAATTTACGTGAAATAATACGTGTGTCCTGATCTACAGATTGTGATGGAAATCAAAATGGGAAATTTTAACCTCACACGTCACTTTTTGTGAGATATAAACTTGGAATTGTGAGAAAAAAAGTCAGAATTCTAAATTTACATCTTGCAATTCTGACTATTATTATATATTTTTTTTACAGAATTGCAAGTTTAAATTCCAACAAAGTCTGAATTGTGAGATAAAAGTGGCAATTACCTTTTTAATATTTTTATCCCGTGGCGGAAACAAGCTTCCATACTATAAATGAAATCTTCTGGAATCAAATGAAATCAACTGAAACTAAAATGGTCCTTTATCTGCACTTCCTTCTACAGTAGTATTTGGATGAAGCGCATCATGGGAACTGATGTCACCAGACAGCATTCCTCATATTAGCAAGCATATGAAATCAGTATCACATCATTTCACATTAAAATTCATCCTGAGAAAAGAAAAGCATTCAGCGATGCTGCAAATATGCATTTCATTTAGATTCATAAATGCTCCACATAGTGCAGATTAATCTGATCTGACTGATGCCTGATTTGAAGCATTTTTATTCACATTTTCAAAGAAAACTCTATTTATGCAGCAGCTATTTTATACTCATCTATTACATTAAACAAATAACGATATTACCAAGCAGGGAACAGTATGCTCAGTATATTCAAGCACAGCTGAAGAGTCACACACTTGATTGGATTTTTCCAGTTCAGGAGAGAAACATACTTCACAGACATTCGACTGCTATAAAACTAGGTCAGCCTTCCCATGGACGGGGGAAATGCACCCAGCCACGCGAGGTCTGGCCTTTTTATTATTTATTTCAGATTACAGTATCGAAACAAGTAAGGAATCAGAGATCGGAAGAACCTCATATAGTCGGTGTGAAAACATATACTCCGCAATACCTGGAAATAAACAATGAGATCGGCGTAACAACAGACAAGGTCTTATGTTGCCATGGCAACCGCGCGGTGATGTCGTCAGAGGGCAGTAATGTATGTGCGCTGTGTTCTGTCAGGTGCTACTCAGAAGTGCTGGAGAAATGAATCATTCAAGAAACGAAACAGGGAGGGGAGAAAACAGGCTCCTTTGAAGCATATAATTTCTGGTCCCTTTTGAAATGCGCTGAATATGGCCAGGGGTGGTCATATGACGCTTTGTAGCTCTGTGACAGGGTCCTGACACAACTGGGTCATCCTCACTCTGTGTTCCTCACAATAATAGACGCAGTGTTTTATTACTCATCGCCGGCATCCAAACAAGCCCTTAACTCTTTGAGAAACGCTAACGGAAGATACCAAATCATGACTGGTTGAACAAGCGTGCATGATGTACCGCAGTGGTCAATCTACTGCTTTGGCCAATATTATGCTAATAATTAATGCACTTTAATTAGGTTAAATGTAAACATTTCTAAAATAAACATGTACACAAAATGTAGCATTTGAAAATAGTAAAAGTGGTATTTTATCATTGACGAGCGCAAGTGTCTATTTACTTCTTACTTCTTAAGACGTATATAACGTCTTAAAGTGTTTTATGAAAATATGAAAATTTTATGCTTAAAATAAGAACAAATCTTCTTTTTTGAAACCACTGAAAGATGCTTTTTTGTTTGTTTGTTTTAAGCATAAACTCAATTCCGAATTGTGAGATATAAACTCAGAATTGAGATATACTGTATTGCACAATTGTGAGATATAAATGCAGAATTGCGAGATATACTGCCAGATATAAAGCAAAATTGTGAGATATAAACTCATAATGGCGAGATATAAGCGCAGAATTGCGAGACATAAAGCAAAATTATGAGATATAAACTGTGAGATATAAAGCAGAATTGTGAGATATTAAGTAAATTCTGAGATATAAATGGAGAATTGTGAGACATAAACAGAATTGCAAGATATTGACGCAGAATTGCGAGAAATAAACTCAGAATTGTGAAATATAAACTGGTAATTCTGAGGGGATTTATGAGATATAATCTTGCAATTGTGATATATAATGTGATATATAATATATATATGAGATATACAGTGGGTACGGAAAGTATTCAGACCCCCTTCAATTTTTCACTCTTTGTTATATTGCAGCCATTTGCTAAAATCATTTAAGTTAATTTTTTTTCCTC